CTTAGCTTACCCCCTTTTGGAGGAGGGGACATGCCTTCCAGTAGCTTAATGAGAAAAATGCTAGTGAAAAAGTAATTGTTTAAGACTTTGTGTGTTGGAAAGTATATATCAGAAGACCTTGCATGCTAAAAAATATTTTACCCTCACACTAGCCACAGACAATTAATACTTTAATTGGATATGGAATTTTACATTGCAAATCATTTTCCCTCAGGAAGAAGGCATTCATTAACTGTCTTCTTCATGTCATTCTAATTACTGATCCTTTATTTGAAACCATTTTTTTCCATGCTGGGAATTTGTAGGATCACTTATTTGCCTCCAGAATTTTTACATTTTACAATGATGCTCCCATTGTATCCATTGTGTGGGGGCACTCAGTGGGTTCTCTTTCAATGGAAATGTATGTCCTTCCAAAGTTCTGATACTTTGTCTATAATTATTTAATTTTGTCCATTTGATTTTCTCTGTTCTGTCTTGGATTCCTTTTACGCAGATGTTGGACCTTCTAAAATAGTCCTCTAATTTTCTTGTCTTTTTTCTTTTATTTTCCATTCTTTTTTGTCATTTGACTTGCTAAAAGAGAAATTTCCTCAGTTCCTTTCAACCCTTCTATTCTTTCATTATGCTATCATATTTTATATTTCCCTGTGCGCTCTTTGTTCTCTGAATGTTTCTTTTTCATAGTGTCTTTAATCTCTTATCTCATTGAGGCTATTAATGATAGTTTCTTTTTTGTTATACTTGTCCTAAATAAGACTTTTCTTCATGTTTTTTCTGTATTTTTCTTTTTTTGTTTGTTTTTTGTCTCTTTGTTATTAGAAACTTTCCTCCAATATATGGTAATTCTTGGCTATCTGCTTATATTTAAGCATGGGATGCTATAAATCTATTTGGAAGCTGTCTGTGATGGTGAGGCTTGTCACTGTAGTTTAATCTGACTGGACACAAAATATGTAAGGCATGGCCTTTTACCGAAGAGGAGTTTGCAGTGGAATGCACACAAGTTGTTCAGATTTTAACAAATATTATAAAAGCTATTTATATTATGACACTACTAGCTATGAAGTCCACAAAATAGCACCCATAGAATATAAAACTAAGAGAAATTAAAATGTATTAAAATCCTTTTCCTTTGTTGATTTTAAGGAAAATCTGTTTTTGTTCTAGTACAGTTTCAGTGAGAGACGAACTTCCTCTTTGACCCTGTGATTTATAATTAGCCCAGCCACTGCCCACAGCTGACAGCACTTGAAAACAGGAGTGGGTCAGGCCCGGCACTCCCAGCCCAAGTGAACATTTTTTCAGACTTGCATGCAATCCAAAACTAAAAGAGATAAAAGGTGAACATGAAGAGCTCTGGCTATTCTTCAGAATGTATTTCCCCCCGGAGACAGTTGTTTGATTCTCCTATGGCATTTGACTTGTACATGGAGACTCTCCCAGAAACTCGAGGTACAAGCCTCACGAAAGGTTGGAATGCTTTAGAAAAATATCAAAGTGTTAAACTGAGGTTCACTGATATCAAATAATTGGGATATTTACAACAACAAATAATGTCTAATTCCTTAACTTCGATGAAAGTTACCGATGATTATTCATGCATTGAAAATGCCTGGAAGAACAGACACCAAAACTATTAATAGCGACTCCTGGGGGAGTAGTACTTGAAGTAGCAGAGGTAGGAAGTAGTTTTTTTTTTTTTTTACTTTACACATTTCTATTGTTTGGTAACAATAAATACATTTTTAAGTGTGAAATGCTACACTATAAAAACTAAAAGAACGAACATAAGCTTACAAAACTTGATATATGCAATTTGGGGCTCAAAAGAAATGATAAATATCTCAAGTAACTCCAGGCCATGTAATTAGAACTTTGACACTTGATAGTTATTTTCTTCCCACATTATTGGAGACTTCAGTCTAACTCCAGCCTATTTTCCAGATTACCTTAGGAAGGTTTCCTTTCAAAAGAAACACCTATTAGGTTAGGTTTGCAATTTGGCCTCAACAAGTTAACAGAAACTCAACTGTAATGATTTTGCTAAATAGGGAGTTGCTTTACTCACTTAATAAAAAGAACACAGGTAGGCACAACAGGTTATTTCACATAATGAAAAGTATAGGATCCTTTTAGCTCTCCTTTCAGTCAACCTCTATGTGTACATTGTTTCTCCATAGTCAGAAAATGGGTATTCCACCTTTAAGCATAAACTCGCACAAGGAGGAGAAAGGGCAAAGAGCAAAAGACATGCATGATTGCTGGCTTGGCTGTTCCTTTTAACAGGAAAACAGCCACTTTCCCGGGACCCCTCCTCAGACTTCCACTTACATTTCATTGGCTTGTCTTAGCTCATATGGGCATGCCCAGCTGCAAAGAAGTCTGGGTACTCCTGGATACATTGCAACTCTGAAAAAAATGTCATTCTGTTGCTGTCATGGTTAATACTAAATGTCAATTTGATTGGATTGAAGGATACAAAGTTTTGATCCTGGGTGTATCTATGAGGGTGTTGCCAAAGGAGATTAACATTTGAGTCAGTGGGCTGGGAAAGGCTGACCCACCCTTAATCTGGGTGGGCACAATCTAATCAGCTGTCGGTGTGGCTAGAATATAAGCAGGCAGAAAAATGTGAACAGAGACTGATGTAGTCTCCCAGCCTACATCTTTGTCCTGTGCTGGACCCTTCCTGCCCTTGAACATCAGACTCCAAGTTTCTTCAGTTTTGGGACTCCGACTGGCTTTCCTTCCTCCTCAGCTTGCAGATGGCCTATTGCGGGACCCTGTGATCCTGTGAGTTAATACTTAATAAACTCCACTCCATATATATATATATATATACACACACACACACACACACACACACACACACAGAGAGAGAGAGACACAAAGTAGATAGGTTGATAGATATAGATATATGTCAGGAGATATAAAGAACCCTGACTAACACAGTTGCTAAGATCAAGGTGGAGGGTAGCAGGATGCTCTGCTACCAATGGCTTATCATGTCACCTCTTCCACAAGCCAAGCCTACCTAACTCCTGCCTGAAACTAGAGGGCTGAGCTTTATGGAGAATTGAAAATGGTATCAGAGAAGCAGTTGCGAGTTCAAAAATGAATACAATTTATTGCAGTATTTGTGTTTCAAAATATTGGAAATAACCAACATGTCTGAGACCTCAAGCCGGAAAAATCTGTTGAGAGCCTTTGGTTGATGTAGTAGCTAGTGAGTGTGCTCTCATCATATTTTCTGTCAAAACCTTATAAGGGTTCCTGGTCCCTGTTATCATTCACGTTTAGATCTGCCTACAGCCGGGAGCTGAGCATGAGGACAGCCCACTCCAGGCACACCTGTAGCAGAGAATCAGACAGGGACCCAGGATGTTTGCTGGAGTTCCTCTATCTGGGAGGTCTTAACTCGACTTTCCTAAAGGAGAAATCAACTCTTCCTTGATGAATGCTCACCTCTTCCAGGAAGGCGTTCCCAATTATTCAATTCTATACTGAGTTCTCCCTTTTCCGATCTGCTGTAGCAATTTTATGTTTGTTAAGCCCACAAAATTCTGTATATTGTTAGACATGTTTCACAAGACCATGTCTCATTTTCCTAAGTCCAGTGTGTGCATCTCAAGAGCTAGTGCTCCAGGGTAGGAGACCCGATGGAAAAGCAGGACATGAACAACTGAGGGTACAGAAGGTGCTACTGAAGATACCCTGGCTCATGGATGACGGGGCATCCAAAGACACACTTTAGTGACTCTAATGTAGCAGCATGATCCTCAGAAAGATCCTGTTAAGTAACCTTCAAATCACTAGACAGTGTGATATTCCTTTCTTGGGTCAAATTTTGGCCAGTATTCAGCCTTAGGGCCTACAAGTGTGTGCTGTCACAGTAGGAACTGAACCACATCAGATTGGAGTCATGTGCCTTCACAGTGTAAATAGCCAACTCTAAACTTGCTCTAAGTCAAGTAGGCTGTAAGCACACCAAGATGACCCTCCCTGTAGCCTTGAATGGTACCCTTTCCCCATCAGCTGCTACGTGTCCTCCTCTCTACTCTTGTCTTCATCACAAAGCATCTGACAAGCTCATTCCTAATAGGGCAACAGAGACTTAAAGAGTGAGATTTGCCTTCTCCCCAAAGTACATCAACACAGGAGAAAAGTGCAAGCCGTTATAACAGAAAGGTAATGGTGAAATTTTAGGTATCAACCAAAAAGTTGAGGCTTTTCTTTCGTGTGAGAAATTTCCAGCTACTAATCAAATGACTACATATAAGTAGCAAACTATCCCCACTATTATTAATAAATCACATATTTTTCTTTATCCTGTAAGATTTCATAAATGTACTCACATTTTATAGTAACTATAATTTGAATAGTCATACTATATTCATGTCTCCAAAGTGCTGGGTCATGAGGTAGGCAGATCATGGGTTCCAAGTCTACCTCCCTGGGTTTGCACCTGCACCACTGAGGCAAGTTACTTAAATGTGTTTGTGCCTCATTCTCCTCATCTGCACAATTGGAGAAAATATTCCCCACTTTGTGAGGGGTATTGTAAGGATGAAGTAAGATCATATATATAGGCGTTTAGAACCTTGCTGGACACTTAGTTTATGTTCAATAAATGTTAGCTATTAAGATTTATTTCTAAATAATAAAACATTTGCAGCTGGCAAATTATCGATTTTTGGCAGGTCTTTCTATTTTAATTTGCCGTGGCTTATAAAGAATATTTGGCATAAAGGGAAGTTCCTGTAAGATTGAGACTCATGATTTGCCCAGCATTTTCAAAAAGTGTGTGATGAAGTTGACTACATGGCAGTGAAGATTTTTTTTTAGACAGAGTCTCGCACTGTCACCCAGGCTGGAGTGCAGTGGCACGATCTCGGCTCACTGCAACCTCCACCTCCTGGGCTCAAGCAATTCTCTGCCTCAGGCTCCCGAAGATTTATTTCTTACATAAATGCGTGTTTTTAAATTTTGATTTCCAGATTGAAGCTATCCCTAAAGATGATTCTACATTATCTGAGAGAAGGCGAGAGCTTCACAAGGAAGTTGAAGTAGCTAAGAGGAATTTGGCCCAACAGGTTAATATCAACATTCATTTAAGCTTCTATCTAAGAAGGGTTCGTACAAAGTTGTGTTTTTAACAGTGCTCCACAAAACCTTATCAATAAGAGAGTCATCAAAGAGAGTATGATCCTGCTTAATGTGGGTATATTTCTTCAACTCAAAGTCCACTCCAATCCTACATTAAATTTGAGAAAAAAGAATATGTTTGAACCAGAAAAAAGTATTCAAAGGAATGAGATTTTTTAATTATGGGTTATTGATTACATTAAAAGTAACCCACAGATGTTTTATTTCACCAATGTCTAATTTCAAATTTTCTTTTGTTTTTATGTCTCTTCTTTTTCTTAGTCACTTGAAAATACAGTCTGAATAAGAAAAGGTTCTATCATGTTAACCCACTGATTTTTACATTATATTACAAAATAAAGGAAAAAAATGAAGCTAAAACAGCATTACTTTATTTTTTATTTTTATTTTTTTGTTGAGAGGGATCTTGCTATGTTTCCCAGGCTGGTCTTGAACTACTGGCCTGAAGTCATCCTCCTGCCTCAACCTCCCAAAGGCTTGAATTACAGGCATGAGCCATCACACCTGGCCTGTTTGTTTTAATAAAATACATTTTGTATAGGAAATAAAAAGGTAGTCTGAGATACTAGCTTTATTGTATTCCTTCAATTAAGTTATAATATTATCTGTGCTTTTTTCAAAAGAAAATTATATCTGAAATGGAGTCTAAGTTAGTAGAACAACAACTTGCAGAAGAAAACAAGCTTTTAAAGGAGCAAGAAAACATGAAAGAGCTGGTATTCAACCTTGTCCGCATGACTCAAATCAAAATTGATGAAAAGGAGCAAAAGTCCAAGGATTTCCTGAAAGCTCAGGTAACTGCATATTTTTAAACCATTTATTGATAACTACAAGAGTTCGGGGTAGCCTCATTTGAATGCAGTGTGCATTAGAAAGCTACACAATTGACCCTTGAACAACATGGATTTGAACTGCATGTGTCCATTTATACACAGATTTTTTTTCAACCAAATGCAGATCAAAAGTAGAGTACTCAGAATACAAAACCTGCATATATGGAAGGCCCACTTTTCTTATAGGTGAATTCCACAGGGTCAACTTTGGGACTTGAATATGCTTGGATTTTTGTATTCTCAAAGGGTCCTGGAACCAGTTCCCCATGTATACCAAGGGATCGCTATAACTGTGCCTCTCCTTCAAGTACCAGTGACTATAAATCTTCCCTAAATGAGATTCCATCACGCACTGAAAGATAGTCCCAGGATTCAATTCACAGTAGTCAACAATTTAGAGGGGAAAGGAGATCATTGACAATGAGCAGAGGATTTGAACAGATGGCAGTTTCAGTAAGAATAGAGTGGGTGCCTCCAGTGGACAGGGCTGGCAGCTGCATAGGCTGCAGATATCATTTAGTTTTCACTCCCATCTCAGACTCCGCTGTGATTTGTCCAGGAACAACTCAAGAGTGGTAGCATTAGATAGCTGTCCCTCCCAACTTCATCAAGACGGCATCATTTAATCGAATGCCAGACACCCTTAGTTGCTGCATCACGCCGTGATTTTCCTGGGCCTCCAAAAAAGTGCCAGTGCAACATTCCCCCCTAAAATCAACAATACAACAAATGGTAAAACAGCCCTCCTGTCACGCCAGCTAAAATTCTACCATTAATCATTTATTCTATATAAGGATTATGTCCAGATCATGCCCAGAAGCTCCCTGTTAAAAATGAACAAGATATTACATATTACTAAAATAGAAGAATTTATCAGGCTAGGTGTGGTGGCTCATGCCTGTAATCCCAGCACTTTGGGAGGCCAAGGCAGGTGGATCACTTGAGGTCAGGAGTTTGAGACCAGCCTGACCAACATGGTGAAACCCCATTTCTACTAAAATACAAAAATTATCCAGGCATGGTGGCAGGTGCCTGTAATCCCAGCTACTTGGGAGACTGAGGCAGGAGAATCATTTGAACCTAGGAGGTGGAGGTTGCAGTGAGCCGAAATCGCACCACTGCACTCCAGCCTGGGCGACACAGTGAGATTCCCTCTAGAAAGAAAGAAGGAAGGAAGGAAGGAAGGGAGGGAGGGAGGGAGGGAAGGAGAGAGAGAGAGAGAGAGAGAAAGAAAAGAGAGAAAGAGTTTATCACATGACCCAGATGTGGTCTGTTTCTAAGCACACCCTTTGTTCTCATTCTAAGTAAGTATTTACATGGAATGGCATTTCTTCTCACTCTGCAGCAAGAGCTCACTTACACCAAAGCATTAGTGAGCAATGAGGTATGAAGTACATTTTTGCAAAGAAGACTTGAGAAGATCTACATTGCACAGCCCACTGCAGGCACTTCACATCCCCCTTTCACTGTTTATTTTTCCACTTTAATATTTAAGAAACTAAAAGAAGTTCAGCATGGCTGGCACATGGGAAGATGGGGAGAAAAGATGTCAAATAGTGAGACCAGAGAGCAGGAGAAGTCAGATGATGAAAGTTACTTAATCCACGTTAAACAGTTGAGACTCCAGCATGAAGGCTGCAGCAACAGTGAAGTTCATGGGGTAGTTGGATTTCACCAGGTAAAGAAATGGTCAGGGAGGACAGGATGAAAGAAAGGCAGCTTGAGAGCACATGGTGGTTGAGGGGGTAAGATGCAGGAGTAGGACAAGGAGAGGAGAGACGAAAGATGTGAGAAGGCCATCTTGGGCCAGGAGCGGTGGCTCATGCCTGTAATCCCAGCACATTGGGAAGCCAAGGCGGGTGGATCACCTGAGGTCAGGAGTTCGAGACCAGCCTGGCCAACATGGTGAAACCCCATCTCTACTAAAAATACAAAAAATTATCCTGGCATGTTGGCGGACCTATAATCCCAGCTACTGAGGAAGTGGAGCAGAAGAATCACTTGAACCCGGGAGGCGGAGGTTGCAGTGAGCCGAGATTGCACCACTGCATTCCAGCCTGGGTGACAGTATGAGACGCCATCTCAAAAACGAAAAATAAAAGGAAGGAAGGAAGGAAGAGAGAGAAGAAGGGAAGGAAGGAAAAGAAGGAAGGAGAAAGCCATCTTCACCAAGTCAGGGTCTGGGATGGGACTGGTCCAGAATAACATTTTCAAGACAACTTGGTGTTGGCTGGGAAGATCCCACTCAAGTGAGTCTTTCCTAGTTAGAAACTTCCTCCCTTTTCTCTTTAGAAATTATAGAAACACTAGAGGTATACTGATTTGTTAAAATAAACACTGATCTGTTTTACGAATTAGATAATTTTCAATTAATCTCAAAAACTGATGTACATGTTATCTACGTGTGACTAATCTATGTAAAGCAAACCTCATTATTAAATGAGTTAATTCATATTAAACCACAAAAGACAATTCTTCTTGAGATATGGAAATTGATAAGGGACAAATGTTTATCCCTTGAGTATTTGTAGCCTTAGGAATTAGTGTGTGAAACATTACCTGTACTCAGCTGCGATTTTCATAAGAAGGCAGTCAGTCTTACTATTTTACGTTCACATGGCATCCACATCCCTAAAGACCAAGGTGAAGAAAAAAAAACAATGTCGCTATCACTCCCAAGACAGAATAGATGACACTACATTTTCCCATCTGTTTTATTATTCATGTGTACAGTTATTTAAATATTTGTTTCTTGCTGACCCCTATTCTCATGGAGAACAACATTAGAAAAATGCTACACATCAATCTTGGCTCTACAGCTAGTTTCTTTCGAATCACTCATACCAAATGGGCTTTGCTCTCAGTCCTTGAGAGAAGGCTGACAAACTATTTCCTCTGGTTTCTACCAGCAAGTCCTTCATTTTTGAATACGTTTCTTATCCCAGATGCAAGAACCAGTATCTTTAGATTTAAAGAACATAACTAATGTATTTAGCACTTGATATATTTTTTAGAATTTTAGAAACGTAACTCCTTTCTTTTAAAATATTTATGTGTAACACCTCCTTACAGCTGGTCTCAATATGATGCTTTATTGTGTAGGAAAACACCCCACATACAAAATACTGCAAAGCACTTTCAAATCATTTCTTCAGTCTCTGACAAAGCACCACAGAGAGTTCAGTTTATAATACCACCAGATCTTACTAGGAATCCTCTTTCTTCATCTATCTTCCATAAACTCTATGCTCACCCATTCCAGCTGTGCAGTTCAAAATCACTCTTCCTCTCTCTCAAAAATCCTCCAAACTTTTCCTCAAACCCAACCCATGCAGGCTTTTTGATTTTTCCCTTCTCTTGTTTGTTGTCTTCCTTAGGTAACAGTTAACAGTTTGTCTTAGCCAATGTGAATCAGTTCAGCTAGCCAGGGGATTTTTAGACCTTCACCCTGATCTATACAACCCAGCAAGCCAAGAAAGACTTTTGAGGGACAGAGTCTTACTCTATCACCCAGGCTGAAGCGGAGTGATGCGATGGCTCACTGCAGCCTCAAATTCTTGGGCTCAAGTGGTCCTCCCACCTCAGCCTCCTGAGTAGCTGGGACTACAGGTGCATACCACCATACCCAGATAATTTTTTTATTTTTGTAGAGATGAGGTCTCTCTATGTTGCCTAGGCTGGAGAATTGTCTTTAATGGAGGGGAATGATATGGAATAGAGCTGGGAGTGTTCATATGTTGTTATTTATTTGACATATATTTTTTTTTACATTTCAGCAAAAATATACCAACATTGTTAAAGAAATCAAAGCAAAGGATCTTGAAATCAGGATACACAAGAAGAAAAAATGTGAAATTTATCGGAGGTAAAGTAATTATATGGTGTTTTACCTATTTAGGTGAGAAAAAAACCTGATGTTTATTTCATAAGTTTCAGTAAATGCTTTGTATTTACAGACTCAAAGAGTTCGCTAAACTGTATGACACCATTCGAAATGAAAGAAACAAATTTGTTAACTTACTCCACAAAGCTCATCAGAAAGTAAATGAAATAAAAGAAAGGCATAAAATGTCATTAAATGAACTTGAAATTCTGAGAAATAGTGCTGTTAGTCAAGAAAGGTAAGTGTTATAACTACTGGCCTTTCAAAGGCTTGTTTTCTGATTCATTTGAACTCTAAAAATCCTGGGGATAATACAATAGAAAAGAGGCAGAGGCTGCAATGAGCCAAGATGGTGCCACTGCCCTCCAGCCTGGGTGACAGAATGAGACCCTGTCTCAAAAAAATAAAAAAATAAAAATAATAGTATTTTAGAAAGCCAGAGAAAGTGCTTGTTCAAGCATCTTGTTTTATAGATGATAATCTATCATGCTTCTACTGTTTGGGAGTCATTTTTTTAACAAATGAAAAACTGTAACATATAACTGTGCTTACTACGATGATTTTAGAAAAGAAATTAGAAAGAAAAGCACAAATCTAATAATTGGGATTGGGAAGTTAGAAAACAATCAAATCGTTTGTTAACCAACATCCCCTGGTTGTAGATTTAAAGCATCTAATGTGTTGTGGGAGGCAATACATTATAGCAGATTGGTGAAAGAGGTGGTGTCCAGACTCAAATACCACCCCTGCCACTTACTACCTGTGTGACCTTGGACAAGCTGCCTTGTCTCTCTGAGCTCACCTTCCTTATCCATACAAATATTCCTTATTTCATATGACATTTTACTATGAAATGAGTTAATCCATATAAAAACACTCAGAAGAATGTCTGGCAAATGGTTGTTTTCTTCATTTATTATTTACCATGTGCCAAGATCTGCTGGACTCTTTCACCTATGTTAGTAAACAGTACACGATCGGGGTATAATCTAATTTTCTCATGGCCATTATTGCCCAGTTTCCTTCAACAAAGCAATTATAAAGTGGCCTCATTTCAGGGGTCGGGGGTGGATGAAAAGAAAAATATAATTTCCTAATCAGGTTCTCATCCAACTTGAAAATGAAATACGTTTATAGAGGCCATGCATTCATTCAGCATTTATTGTGGCCACAGGCTGTGTCCAATGGGTATTATTGGATATAACCATCTCTGTCCTCAAGACAGCAGTCTCCTGAGAATGACAATAAATGAATGACTGCAGTCTCTTGCTTTCATAAAGCGGGGCAGCAGAATGCTGGGGCACAAAGTAAAGATTTTCTAATCTGGAGGAGAGAAAATCTGAGACCTGGAAGGATTATGAAAATTCCTGAAGAGTATTATAAGATGAATATCATTATTACTAGCATCATCATTTCAAGGGCTACACTAAAGCAAGGTCTGCTTTGATAGTGCTTGTGTTTCAGAAGCCTTCATTCCTTTTAAATAAAGAAAATTATCATCTTACCCATTGTCTTATTTTAAAAGAAAGCTACAAAATTCCATGCTGAAACATGCCAACAATGTTACCATCAGAGAGAGCATGCAAAACGATGTGCGCAAAATTGCATCAAAACTTCAGGAAATGAAAGAAAAGAAGGAAGCCCAGTTAAATAACATTGACAGACTTGCCAATATGATCACAATGATCGAAGAGGAGATGGTGCAGCTTCGCAAAAGATATGAAAAAGCTGTTCAGCATCGAAATGAAAGGTAAAAACCAGGTGTGAGAACAGAGCACCAGGGATCCAATTGAGGAATGTCACCTCTTTTTCTACCTAGACTTGACAGTGAATAGTGAGGGAAATGTGATATTCAGGTTTCATTAACCTTTGGAGAGAAGGGACTGTGTGTTGCTTCCCTTGAAAATAAGAAATGCTGTCCTCATGCCGGGCACAGTGGAGTGATCCCAGCACTTTGGGAGGCCGAGGTGGGGGGATCACTTGAGCTCAGGAGTTCGAGACCAGCCTGGGCAACATAGTGAAACCCTATCCCTACTAATAAAATACAAAAAATTAGCCAGGTGTGGTGGCGGGTGCCTGTAATCCTAGCTACTGGGAGGCTGTGGCATGAGAATCACTTGAACCTGGGAGGCAGAGGTTGCAGTGAGCCGAGTTCGCACCATTACACTCCAGCCTGGGCCACAGAGTGAGACTCTGTCTCCAAAAAAAAAAAAAAAAAAAGAAAGAAATACCATCCTCATAAACAGGCAAAGAGGAGGGGTTTGGGGAAGTTGCTTGCTTGAAGATCAATGTCCTTTCCTAGGTGGTCATTCAGGGCGCCTCTTATAACATCAGATTCTTTCAACATAATTGACATAAATAAGCATGGAACTTGTACCCATTTTTGTGGTAGGTTTGGTCTTATTATATTTACTCAGCCATTCTCCTAGTTCATTTGCTCAGCAAGTTAGTAAGACCTTTAGGAGTAGCATTATTTCTTCCAGGCTGTAATTATATCATTAATCAATGTTGACTTCAGCAGTTCCCCCAAGTTACTTATGCTCTGAGAAATAGGAATGTGAAATTTGCAGAGCCCTGTGATAATGACATCTAATTCCTGAAGAGTATTATAAGATGAATATCATTATTACTAGCATCATCATTTCAAGGGCTACACTAAAGCAAGGTCTGCTTTGATAGTGCTTGTGTTTCAGAAGCCTTCATTCCTTTTAAATAAAGAAAATTATCATCTTACCCATTGTCTTATTTTAAAAGAAAGCTACAAAATTCCATGCTGAAACATGCCAACAATGTTACCATCAGAGAGAGCATGCAAAACGATGTGCGCAAAATTGCATCAAAACTTCAGGAAATGAAAGAAAAGAAGGAAGCCCAGTTAAATAACATTGACAGACTTGCCAATATGATCACAATGATCGAAGAGGAGATGGTGCAGCTTCGCAAAAGATATGAAAAAGCTGTTCAGCATCGAAATGAAAGGTAAAAACCAGGTGTGAGAACAGAGCACCAGGGATCCAATTGAGGAATGTCACCTCTTTTTCTACCTAGACTTGACAGTGAATAGTGAGGGAAATGTGATATTCAGGTTTCATTAACCTTTGGAGAGAAGGGACTGTGTGTTGCTTCCCTTGAAAATAAGAAATGCTGTCCTCATGCCGGGCACAGTGGAGTGATCCCAGCACTTTGGGAGGCCGAGGTGGGGGGATCACTTGAGCTCAGGAGTTCGAGACCAGCCTGGGCAACATAGTGAAACCCTATCCCTACTAATAAAATACAAAAAATTAGCCAGGTGTGGTGGCGGGTGCCTGTAATCCTAGCTACTGGGAGGCTGTGGCATGAGAATCACTTGAACCTGGGAGGCAGAGGTTGCAGTGAGCCGAGTTCGCACCATTACACTCCAGCCTGGGCCACAGAGTGAGACTCTGTCTCCAAAAAAAAAAAAAAAAAAAGAAAGAAATACCATCCTCATAAACAGGCAAAGAGGAGGGGTTTGGGGAAGTTGCTTGCTTGAAGATCAATGTCCTTTCCTAGGTGGTCATTCAGGGCGCCTCTTATAACATCAGATTCTTTCAACATAATTGACATAAATAAGCATGGAACTTGTACCCATTTTTGTGGTAGGTTTGGTCTTATTATATTTACTCAGCCATTCTCCTAGTTCATTTGCTCAGCAAGTTAGTAAGACCTTTAGGAGTAGCATTATTTCTTCCAGGCTGTAATTATATCATTAATCAATGTTTACTTCAGCAGTTCCCCCAAGTTACTTATGCTCTGAGAAATAGGAATGTGAAATTTGCAGAGCCCTGTGATAATGACATCTGGTATCAGAATTTTTTAATCAAACTTTGATTGTGTGCTTTTCTGTATAAGGCATTAGAGTGCTAGAACTTGAGAGTACAAAAACGTGGTAAAACATTGCTCCTGGCTTCGGTTATCAAGAGAACTTGATCTTGAGCCTTTGAAAGGAAAACAGACAAAATATAGAGCTGGGATTAGCCAAGTACAACCATGTGCATGCATGTTTTGAGGAAGGGGAGTCATAGATAGAAGCAATTAAAGGAGGAACTCTGAAATAACAGATATGCATAGTGTGTGGGAAGACCTTTAGGGTCCTTTGAAGAACAGCAGATTTTCAAAGGGCTGGTAGGTTTTTCTCCAGGGGAGGAAAAAAATACTATTTGGCTCCTGGCACAAACCAAAGCTTTTGGACAAACAGTGTACACCCAGGTGCTACTCAGATCAGTGGGGCATGATCAGCCATGCAGACCAAAGCTGCTAGGGTTAGAACATTCTTACTTTGTTTCCTCCCCATATTCTTCGTTCAAGGAGGGGTCTTTCTCCTGGCATGATTACAAAGGATAGATTTTTGTCTGTTTATGGGGAAATTACAATCAGAAATATTCAACTTGAGAAGAAACTAATGGGCCTAGCAACTTAATGTAGAGCAGACTCACACCAGAACTACATTCCCTGGCCACCTGCCTGTGTGCTTCTGGCCAGGCCTTGGTTGGCAAGTTTGACCCGAGAAAAGGATCTGCAGAAAATCAGACTATGGGATCACTTTGTTTGTGCATTGGGAATGACATTCTTTCCCACCCCGGGAAAACCTTTGGGACTTTCAGAGACACTGTGGCTAGCCAACCACATGGTCGGCCTCAAACTTGAGAGGCTGAGTAACCCTCCTATCCCTAGAGAAATCCAAAGTGTGGATGTAATTTAACTGGAAAACCATTGGTGACTATCTGTCATCCTCTGGAAGTATATGCTGTGTTGATGTATATCTTGCATCCAAAGCCAGAGGGAATCACAATGACTAGTAAAACGGTGGTCTCAATGCCCACTTAACCTCTACCTCTGAATTTGACCACAGTGGCGTTCAGCTGATAGAGCGGGAAGAAGAAGTATGCATTTTTTATGAAAAAATAAATATCCAAGAGAAGATGAAACTAAACGGAGAAATTGAAATACATCTACTGGAAGAAAAGATCCGATTCCTGAAACTGAAGATTGCTGAGAAGCAAAGACAAATTTGTGTTACCCAGAAATTACTGCCAGCCAAGAGGTCCCTGGATGCCGACCTAGCTGTGCTCCAAATTCAGGTGGGTGAGTGATCACAGGACACTTCCTCAGACCATTTATTTTTTTCCACCTTTATTAGTTTGTAGATGAGTTCTTGCATGTAAACCAAGCCATACTATTTCTAGGACCTGTAAGAATCCATCTTGTTTAAAAATGCACATGAATGCTGCTCTAGGGTGGAATCTGTGCTTCAGGCATCCAGACTACACATTGTCTTTTTTTTCTCATGAGGCATTTTCTGCCTTTCTTAGAATTTAAAGTCTCCCAGGACTTATCTCTAGCTCAGTTTCCTCATAGCTCAAACTTCACTGATCTAGACTCTCACTACCCTCAGCATACTCATGTTGTTGCTGCTTGCTGGATAGATCTTGAGGATGAGCCAGCACTCTTTTGATACTCTGGTCCCCAGAGCAAGAGATTGTCTGGAGATTGTTGCTTATTAGTAGTTGGCAGTCACATATAACTTGACTCTTTATTAACCACTGTAGTTCTATGATAGCTTAGTAACTTGGCCTCTGACATGGCCTTTTTTAAAGTGGATAAATCCAAAAAACTAAAACATGAAAAAACAAAATAAAATATGAATATAAAGCTACTTTCTTCACATGTGTTACTAGGGGTTTATTCTTCATAGAAACTTTTTAAAATTAAACTGAAAACTGTGTAGCCTAAACTTGTTCCCATTAACTCAATGTAGCAGGAACAAATTCTAACCTATAACATTTTTTCTAAAATGTCAGGTTTGCATTTGGATTTTTTTTCCTGATAATAAAGTTAAGATATGTGGTGAATGAAATTTCGTAAAAGTATAAAAATTATAAAGAAGAAAATAAAATTGTACCCCCAAGATACAATTACTGTTAAAATTATCAGAAATCTGGGAGAAATCCTTTCATTTGTTTTCTAGGCATACAAGTAAATGTTTTCATTAGCTCATGCCCTGGACAGTTTTGGGCCCCCCTCTTTTTTTTTTTAATCATGTCAAGGGGATTCATAGGATTTCATGGGACTATATGATAGATCTGCTTTCATATTTTATGCCATTTGAATGTGCATATGCTGTATAGATAATAGCCTCTTTCAGTTTGCACAAATATGCCAATGTTCTGATTTCAAGTGTTTTTTTTTTTTTAATTGAGCCATGAGTTCTTCCATTCATTTCTTCAGTAAGTGTAGCCAGATTCAGATCAATTGGCCAGAAAGTCCCCCTAAACTCCCACAGGCCTCCCCAGGCTTCCTGGAGCTCTGACTTCTACTTCCAACAAAGGTTCATTTGAGGGATCGCCCATCAGCCTGCATACATAGTGCCTGTGCCACTTCTGTGCCATGTCCGCAAAGGCACAGGACTGACCCCTTCCTCAGGCTATACCTACACAAGACCATTCATGTAAGACCTCTGTGGACAGACTTTATTAAAGATGTGGGGCAATGCTATGTGGGGTTACATTACAGAAATGCAAAGCCCTTCAATTAGATATCAGACATCCATGCTCTTCTTGGGGGCACTCTATCACTGGAGACACTTCCCTGAGTGCTAATACTCTGTACTGCACCCTTGCCTAGCTCAATTTCACTGGCTTGTCTTTCACCTCCCCTCTCCCTCCACAGCCTCATCATCCCAGACGGCCCCCAGGAACTCCATACTTGCCCCCACTTCATTTTACAGAAGAATTTGGCTCTCTCCGGCTTTTTCCCAAAATGAAGCTTCAGGTCTATCTTTTCCCATCCTACACTATCAAGATGCAGAGCAACATAAAAGAACTTTAAATTCAGTAAAATCTGCAACAGAATAATTTCCTCTCTATTGTATAAGCATATTCTTTGTGTTCACTGCAAATCAATACTTCCATTCAGTGGATAAAATTGTTCTTAGAAAAAAAAATGTCATTTTGTTATATAAAACCAATTATCTAGTGTGAAATGTAAATTCACTTTTACCCAAGAAGGAAATATTATACATTTCATAACACTACACTCCCTACCTGATGGTGAACTTTGATCATTTTGATTGCACATCACCTGAGACATGCAGACTATGTGTTATCAGTTATCTGCTCTACCGGAGTGAATTCGGATTATCTGCTCAGCACCAATCATGTGTACCCTTGTAGGATGTGCTGTGAAATTTCTAGCTTCAGGCAAGCCGTTTCTGTGCCCTGTTCTGCAGTGCCAGATCCCGGTCATATCCTGTTGTTTTTTACAGCCACAGTGTCTTTTTTTTTTTTTTTTTTTAAGGTCTTCCCCCTTTTTTGCATCATTTTCAGAATTCTCTTAAGGTTTGCATTTTTTTCAGTTGTCCAGAACAGTTTTTAATTGTCCAACAGTCTAACCCAAGGATTATCATGAGTCTGTTCTCCTGGTTCTGTAATGATAGCTCAATTTTAGGCACCTTGGAAGTCACATGAATTACTTTGGGACACGAAGACACTATTTTACATAAACAGCATGAACAGTTTTTCCTCAAATGCCAAAGGAAAACTAAAATCGAGACACCCCTTTATAAGCAAGCACTGTATTTTTGTTTCTTATTTAGTTTCCTAATTAAGAAAAGGGAACATTAAGTATTGTTAATAGTAAATACAACAAATGCTTGATTACATATGTATGTATACTTCAATTCTGTATTAAGGACATTTAAGGAATGTAGATACCGGAAAAAGGACAATGTTAAATTATTGATCACCATTTATAATTCTTTCTGTAGGGAGGAGGAGCATAAATTTTTAAAATGCTACCTGTATCTGTCTTTTTTTTGAGACAAAGTCTGGCTCTGTTGCCCAGGCTGGAGTGCAGTGGCGCAATCTCGGCTCACTGCAATCTCCACCTCCTGGGTTCACACCATTCTCCTGCCTCCGCCTCTTAAGTAGCTGGGACTACAGGCACCCGCCACCACGCCCGGCTAATTTTTTGTATTTTTAGTAGAAACAGGGTTTCACCGTGTTCGCCAGGATGGTCTCAATCTCCTGACCTTGTGATCCGCCCGCCTCAGCCTCCCAAAGTGCTGGGATTACAGGCGTGAGCCTCCGCGCCCGGCCTACCTGTATCAGTCTTAGACATGTTGTAAAATACCATAAATACATTATCTCATTTGATGGATCAACCCTGTGGGACTGAGCTTTTTCTTCCTATTTGACAAGTGAGGAAACTAAAGTTTAGAGAAGACAAATGATTTACCTGAGATTACACAGGTATTCAGTAGGAAAACTGAAAAATAATGCTTCTTGGTTGTCACCATGCTCTACATCTCTCTCCCTATAAAACAAAAACTAAGTGTGGCTACCCTTCCTATTTAGGAGTAGCCATGTTTCTTCATTCACCTCCAAAATCTCACTGATTCAACAAATAGAGTTAATACATATGACACTATATTAGGGATTTAGCAGAAAAAATACAAATAGCCCAAGCTGTTCCTCACAGAGCATACATTAGGTAGGTTCAATGATAAAGAATGTTTTTCTCCTTCTTTGGGAAGCCATTAAACCCGTTGCCAGCCAAGTGTTTTGAAATGAAGTCCAGCGTGTTTTATGCTAGTTACCCTGGTCTCTGTAACAACCTGCAATGAAGAGGTGAAGGTTGTGTATTAGTTCATTTGCATTGCTGTAAAGGAATACCTGAGGCTGGGTAACATAACAAAAAGAGGTTTATTTTGGCTCATGATTCTGCAGGCTGTGTAGGAAGCATGGTGCCAGCATCTGCATCTGGTGAGGGCCTCAGGAAGCTTCCAATCATGGTGGAAAGTGAAGGGGGAGCAGGCACATTGTGTAGCGAGAGGAAGCAAAAGAAAGAAGCTGAGGAGCCAGGCCTTTTTTTTTTTTTTTTTTGAGACGGAGTCTCGCCCAGTCACCCAGGCTGGAGTGCAGTGGTGCAATCTCGGCTCACTGCAAGCTCCGCCTCCCGGGTTCATGCCATTCTCCTGCCTCAGCCTCCTGAGTAGCTGGGACTACAGGTGCCCGCCACCACACCTGGCTAATTTTTTGTGTTTTTATTAGAGACAGGGTTTCACCATGTTAGCCAGGATAGTCTCAATCTCCTGACCTCACAATCTGCCTGCCTCAGCCTCCCACAGTGCTGGGATTACAGGCTTGAGCCACCGCGCCCAGCCGAGCCAGGCTGTTTTTAAACAACCAGATGTCACTTGAACTCATAGAGTGAGAACTCACTCATTTTCGTAAGGACAGCACCAAGCCGTTCATGAAGGCCCCACCCTGCCCCCATGACCCAGACACCTCCCACCAGGCCCCACTTTCAACACTGGGGTTCACATTTCATTCAACATGGGTTTTGGAGGGGGACACATCCAACCATATCAGGCTGTATACTTGGAGCCCTGCAACCACGCAGCATCCCATGAACATGACCCAGATGGGAAGCAATCAAGGGTTGCTTATGAAATCCGCTTTTTCTATGACCCAGAAGGCACTGCCTCACCTTGTATGGTCAGTTATAGACATCATCATTGCAGTACCATAAATGAGCAGAAACGTCACTTAAGCAGGGCCCATCTGATGGGGTGTTAAGAAAACAGAGTTCTCTTCTACCCTTGTCTGGGTTGGTCCTACTGAAAAACTCTGAAGACCCTAGGCAATGTGATTTTCAAATTTACTGAGCTAGAGAATTCATTTTAAAGTTAATGTTTTTTTCTTAATAGTTTTCACAGTGTACAGACAGAATTAAAGACCTGGAGAAACAGTTCATAAAGCCTGACGGTGAGAACAGAGCTCGCTTCCTTCCAGGGAAAGATCTGACCGAAAAGGAAATGATCAAAAAATTAGACAAGGTAAACATTCTTGCTTGAAATTGCATCTGGTAGCCCCTTGTTGATGTAGTTCACAGATACCTACGGTACTGTTTCATGTTATGCTGACAGACCTATCCTTCGTTATTCGAGTCACTAATATAGTCCTTTCGTTGTAATCTAGTCATACATTCTAAGCTTGATTTAGACACTTGACAAAAGAAGTTCCAATCCAGTGGTTTTGAGATTCCGAAGGCACCTTTCTCTCATGGCCCAAAGGAGTAATTCTGGCATCTTAAATGGATTAATTTGTCTTCCTGATGGGAACACATCAGAAGAATGGTGATGTGGATGCTAGATAGAGCTGAGGGGGCCATCCTGTAACTCCCAGAGGTATCTACAGGGGCTGGGGCAGGGGAAGTCTTGACTTAATCCAGCTCTAAACACTTTCCAGAGGTATTTTGTAGGGGGTAGGGGGAAATAGTGCTCTAATTAGGAGATAGGATTTTGTCTTGGATGACATTTTTTCTTCCTCTTGAAACTATTTTCAAACATAGCTGGAACTACAACTGGCCAAGAAGGAGGAGAAGCTGCTGGAGAAGGATTTCATCTATGAACAGGTCTCCCGGCTCACAGACAGGCTCTGCAGCAAAACTCAGGACTGCAAGCAGGACACGCTGCTCTTAGCCAAGAAGGTAGGCCTGAGACCCTGCCTTTTCCCTTCTGCCCCTGCTCCTTTATTACCTTTTATTTTCCACAGACTGATAGATTTATTGAGGGAAGCACTGGAGAGATTAGGCTTTATGACTAGGGAAACTTAGAAAAACGGAAGGATGACTCAGAATTGTCCAAAATGTTTCAATCTTACTCCCTGAACGAATTCACTTCGCAGTGGCAAAACTTAAGCTTTTAAATGACAGTATTCAAGTTTCACTTAGCAGGGCAACTATCCAACTATGACCATTATTATCTTTATATCCCATGCACAAAGTGAAATCCTTTCTAGTTCCTTTTAAGTGGAGCGCCTCACTTATCCAGTGATCTTAGTAGGGACTGCTCCAATCCAGAACTCAGCCAGAACCCAGAAATGGAAAGGGACTGTTAAGAGAAATGCAGTCACACAACACCCAGACCAACTGCACCACGGAGGTGCCCACCAGGCACCACTGGTGAGGAAAGGCCAGGAACACAGAACCCCTTAATTTAATAAGCATAAGAGGCTAGGATGACAGATCCAAAGCCTCAGGGTGGGGGTGGGACTGCTAGAAGCTGCACTGAAAGGAGCAGCCAGCAGAGCCCCTAGAAGTCCCCCTAGACTCCCACAGGTCTCGCCAGGCTTCCTGTGGCTCTGAGTCCTGCTTCCAACAAAGGTTCATTTGGGGAATTGCCCCATCAGCCTGTACACCCAGTGCCTGTTCCATTTCTGCGTCATGTCTGTGCACACGCGGGACTCCCTCCTTCCTCAGTCTACCCCTACACAAGACCATTCATGCAAGGCCTTTCACGCGTACTATAGAGCCATCAGAGGCTTGGCCACTCACCTGGCCTCTGGGGTCCTCTGGAGCATCCCGCCAGTACAGAGTTCAGCCAGTCAACAGTAATTACTGAACACCTGCTATGTGCTACACTCATGCTAGGCATGAGTTCAGAAACAAAGAGGAAGGGACACATTGTTTACACCATAGGAAGCTCACAGGGTCTAGTAGGGAGAGACAGATGAAAACAGATAATGGTAATACCCACACCAGAGACTGTGGGCTCCTGAGGGCAGCAATTGTTCCTTGTTCTTAATTTCCCCAATGCCTAGCATATACCAGGCTCTAGAAAAACACTTACAAGATGAATAACCAGTTCTGTTTCAGAAGCACATGTGGCACACTAAACAAGAAATGATTGTAAATCTTAGACTATCTTTGCCATTTTTATTTGACTCTTATGCTTCTGCTCGGACGACTTTCATGAATAGACTGATCAGGCCAGTGGCAGGTATGCAAATCACAACTTTGCCTCATAAACTAAGGTAAAGTTGTGAGTCACACGTCTGCCACTGGACTGATGCTAAGGCTTAGTTAAGTTCAGGCACTTTGCCTGAATTAGCATGTCTGATATTCCTTTAAATAAATGTTGCCTGCCTGCCTTTTGCAAAATGGATTTCCCTTTCCTTGGGGGAAGTCATTTTCACTGAGGCCTGACTTATCAAAGCTGATGGCAGAGTTGCCTGGAAGGCAACAGTAATGCTAGGGAAATGTACATAGCGGCCACTTTCCATAGCCAGGAAAGCTCCAGCACAGCTGAGTCCTAGTCTAACAATCATTCTCCCCTTTCCTTTCCCTACCTTCCATGCTCTCCATTGGCTTCTTCCTCCTCCCCAGATTTCACTGCCCCCTCCATTTGAAATGATAATCTCATAGTAGGCAGAACTGGAAAGTAGAAAGACATTCAGATTCCAGATCTATGATTTATCAAAACTAGCAAATGGCCTTGAGAAAGATGGACAAATGATCTTAAAACTCAGTTTTCTCATCTGTGTAATGGGTGTGATAGCCGAAGTTGTTGCAAGTATTACACAGTCGAACACATAAGTGGCCTAGCCACATTCAACAAGATTGCACATCTCATCAAGTCCTCACTCCTCCTAGATAGCTTATGGCTCCTCTTGCAAATTTCCCAACAGAAGTGGGAGCAGAAAGTGGGAAATCTCAGTTAAGACTTGGAGCAACCCAGAATAATACGAAGCTTTGTTTTCTAATTTATGGAAGAGAAGGGAAGTTGGCTAGTTACACAGACGGACATACACACTCAAGTGTGCAGTGGTTGAGTGGAAAATGACTCCCCCCAAAGAAAAGGAAATTCATTTAAAAAAGGAAAGGCAGCAACATTTAAAGACACATCAGACATGATAATTCACTCAAAGTGCATTAGCTTATCTAAGTCTTAGCATTTCTTATTTTATGACTTAAAGTTGTGAATTGCACCAGTGCTGCTGGACTGATCAGTCTGTTAGTGGAAGTTGTCAAAGCCGAAGTGTCAAAGTCAAATAAAAATGGCAAAACTTACGACTCATTGAAGTTTTTAGTGATAGTCATTTTTATTCGATACATGCTTCCTAAAAATTAGTTCAGTATAGAAGTCATAAAAATTTATATTACCTACCATTAAGGAGGCAAAATTTGTATATAATAATCAGTTATTACATTTTCAGAGGCAGGTAAATCACTAGCCGTAACATTCCTCTAAGCAGAGGTACAGATGTGACCGGATATGCTCTTTAGGAGAGGAAGGTATTCAACATTAGGTGTAGTATTTGGAAGCTCATTTGCATGTCCCAATTTATCCTGGTCCAAGAACAAAGATTGAAACAGACTAAGAGTTCATTCATTCCTTCATTCAGAAAATATTCAACTTTAATTTGGGGGCAGGGGTGCCTCTTATATTCCAAGCACTGTCCTGAGCACTGGGACTATGATGATGAGTAAAACAAATAGTCCTTGTCCTCATGAAGAGTACATTCTTACAGGATAACAGACTGTAATCAAATATAGAAAAACATGTATCAGATCAGCAGTGAGACATGATGTGAAGAAAAAATAAGGCAAGGTAGAAGGAACTGGTGAGTGTTGCCAGGTAGAAGGTATCACCACTGAACTGCCCCCTATGGCTATCACACTAAAGGATTCTACCATTTATAAGACAGAGAGATTACAGGAACCCCTAATTCCAGTTTTACTTCTTTCCTGCCTTTTGAGATTTTTTTTTTCCAATTAGTGCTATCTTTTAACTGTATTAATGCTAAATAGCTGATATTAATAGGTTTAAAAAAAAAAAAAGGTCTGGTCGCAGTGGCTCACACCTGTAATCCCAGCACTTTGGGAGGCCAAGGCGGGTAGATCACATGAGCTCAGGAGTTCAAGACCTGCCTAGGAAACATAGTGAGACCCCATCTCTACGAAAAATACAAAAACAAATAGCCAGGCGTGATGGTGCACACCTGTGGTCCCAGCTACTTGGGAGGCTGAAGTGGGAGGATCACTTGAGCCTCAGGGACAGAGGTTGCAGTGAGCTGATACCACACCACTGTGCTCCAGCCTGAGTGACAGAGTGAGACCCTGTCTCAAAACAGACAAAACACTCCAGGAACAGCTCTCATTCTAAGTTATTGACTAAGTTTTCCCCAGCTCGGCTCATGCATGTTTCTGACCTAGTAATGATGCACACCAGGAATTATCAATAACGCCAACATGTCAGTGTGATGGTTTTCATTTAAAAAGACATTTCAGATGCAGAAATTTTGCTGATCATCTTACATAAGCAAAGAGGAACGTTAGTTCTACCAGATTTTTTCCCCTGGATAAGTGACAAACTAATAACGTCAAATTAAGCTAGAATTTAGGCATCAAGAACACTCTTGGCTGGGCACAGTGGGTCATGCGTGCAATCCCAGCACTTTGGGAGGCCAAGGCAGGAAGACTGCTTGAGCCCAGGAGTTAAAAACCAGCCTTGTCAGCACAGCAAGTCCCCATCGCTACAAAAATAATAAATTAGCCAAGTGTGGTGGTGCATGGCTATAGTCCTATCTACTTAGGAGGCTGAGGCAGGAGAATCGGTTGAGTCCAGGAGTTCCAGGATGCAGTAAGCTGTGATCACACTACTATACTCCAGTGTGAGCAACAGAACAAGACCTTGTCTTTATTTTAATTTAAAAAAAAAAAGAACATCCCTGGCTGGGCACAGTGGCTCCCGCATGTAATCCCAGCACTTTGGGAGGCCAAGGCAGATGGATCACAAGGTCAGGAGATCGAGACCATCCTGGCTAACATGGTGAAACGCCATCTCTACTAAAAATACAAAAAAAAAACCAGGTGTAGTGTTGGGCGCTTGTAGTCCCAACTACTCGGAAGGCTGAGGCTGGAGAATGGCGTGAACCCGGGAGGCAGAACTTGCAGTGAGCCAAGATCACGCCACCGCACTCCAGCCCGGGCGACAGAGCGAGACTCTGTCTCAAAAACAAACAAACAAACAAACAAACAAAAAACATCCTTTCACCTCTCCTTCTCACCTCTTAAAAATGCTTAAAAATGGGCACTAACCTATTCTCCTTAATGTTATCCACCTTGAAATCTAGTAACTAGATAAACAAATCCTTTTCTTGTTCTCTCCTTGTCCTTACACAACCAGGGCATTCAGCTCAATCTCTGCAGTCTCTTCCAGTTCTTAATTTCTGTGAATTCCAAGTTAGACCCTCCTTCCTTCAGGCAAAAATGCACCCCACCATTATAGATGGCCAGCAGCCTGCCATTTTAAGTCTTCGTGGACCGCATACATAGACTAAGCCTTGGGCTCTTTAATTCTAGATGAATGGCTATCAAAGAAGGATAAAAAATGCAACTGAGAAAATGATGGCTGTTGTTGCTGAGCTGTCCATGAAACAAGCCCTAACCATTGAACTCCAAAAGGAAGTCAGGGAGAAAGAAGACTTCATCTTCACTTGCAATTCCAGGATAGAAAAAGGTCTGCCACTCAATAAGGAAATTGAGAAAGAATGGTTGAAGGTCCTTCGAGATGAAGAAATGCATGCCTTGGCCCTCGCTGAAAAGTCTCAGGTAGGCTTTGGCTCCTGTATTGCTTTTCTAAAGGGTGCCAGCAGGGGCTGCTTTCAGGGGGTCATTCATCCCACAGGATAAGAAAAATTTCCCCACTCTACCACACACAGTCCCAACAGTCATTAGAAGTGTGTTTAAAGATATTCTATAGATAAGTCAAAGTGCAGTAATCCAGAGTGCCACAATACTCACTGAAGAACACTTAGCAAGCACAGGGCCCACCCCACAGCCTTACATCCTGGGCTGCCGAGGCTGAACATCATGGCCTTCCACCAGCATAGTGACGACCAGGCTGGCATCGGTCTTGTCTATAAGTCTCCAATCTCTGTCTTGGCACCTCTGCTCAGACCACACCTGACTGTTCCATGTTCATCTGCTGTGGCCTCCACAGCATACAGTGAGGCCTCCACCCACATTATAGTTGCCAGGCCTTCTGCAGATGCTTGATGTACATCATAGGCCTCAGCGGCCCCCCTTTATTTTCCCACCTTAGTCCTCTGGCCTAAGGCTAGGTCTATCACTGACTCCCCCTGCAAGTTAGATACCAGATCTTCTGCCTACCCCCATGACCTGTCAGTATTCTTAGACTGGAATTAGGCATCTCTTTCCAAGGAGTCTACATCCTCCAGATGTACAACTCACTCAAACTGTCCAGTGGATGTCACCAAAAGGGTCCCTATTTGCTCCTGAACCCAAGACAAAACTGCATTCAAAACACACTAGGAATACCTGAGCACAGGTATAAATTACATGATTTATAATTTCCGCACCACCTGGGACTGTTCCTTTTAGGGCATTCAGATTTTACCCGTGGTGTCCCACTGTCATTTATCAGAGGGCTTTTTAGTGCAGTAAGTGATTACTCTGTTTTCCAGAGGCACAGGCAAAATCTCGAAAACGTTGCGGCTCAGAGCAAGCTGGTGACCGTTTTCCTCCTCTGGTTGCACTTTACTCCTCTATCTCTTCCATTGTAATATTTGCTCACCAATGACTTACCAAAGGAAATATGTTGCTCTGCCTTTGTCAAAAACAGGGAAATAATTAGTGCTTGATGACAGATATTGAAGTGGAAACATAGTTAGGACCCACGAAGCAGTCTTTGAAAAACCCTAAACTCCAGGAATAATGTGATGCTGAAGCAATACAGCCCATTCCAATGAGGGGTGGGTGTGTGTGTGTGTGTGTGTGTGTCTGTGTGTGTGTGTGTGTGTGTGGTGTGATTCTACCCTCCTACTCCTCCCATCCCTTTGGGGAGTATCAGCTAGCACAGTCAAAGACTGTCCAGGCCAGCTGCGTCTTTTGGGACCTAAGGATAAAGTGACTTCACCAGAGTTTTCAGAGAACTGAAAAGGAAAAATCATTCTTTGCAGGAGTTCTTGGAAGCAGATAATCGCCAGATGCCCAATGGTGTTTACACGACTGCAGAGCAGCGTCCAAATGCCTACATCCCAGAAGCAGAGGCCACTCTTCCTTTGCCAAAACCTTATGGTGCTTTGGCTCCTTTTAAACCCAGTGAACCTGGAGCCAATATGAGGCACATAAGGAAACCTATTATAAAGCCAATTGAAATCTGAGTAGGTGAACAAATCCAGGCCTCTCAAGGAGAGGACTTCAACCAGGCTTCCTTGTACCCACAGGTGAAAAATGTGAGCATAATACTTCCAATTTTATTGATAAGTAAGGTAACCACAATGAGTCAACAACAGAGTACAACATGGTTTCTTTTTACCTACCAACTACTATACCTTTCATGACATTGAATAGGACACAGAACTGTCCTACATTTATATGTCAAAGTATATATTTGAATTGCTTATATTTTCTTTTTCACTCTTTATGTTGAGTACATTCCAGAAATTTGTAGTTGGCAAGGTGCTATAAAAATGCACTAAAAATAAATCTGTTTTCAATGAAGTACAGAAATTGGCAGAGTAGTCTTTGTTTATTAAAGAAAAAACAAATACTGTTCAATCTACACACTTTAAAAAGAAACAATGGCTATTTGAAAAGGAAAATATCTCAAGTATTGCAAAGGCATAACTCACTTTGTCGAATAAGAAGTAGCACTTAATCTTGGTAAATCTAAATTATGTAAAGTAGTGAAACTTGTCATGGCTGTTTGCATTTTTTTCATTTTACTTTTTTGACTAATAATAATTGTACCTACTCATGGGGTACATAGTGAAGTTTCAGTACATATAATGTATAGGGATCAGATCATGGTAATTAGCGTATAAATTCAAACTTTATCATTTCTTTGTGTTGGGAATATTCAGTATCCTCCTAGCTGTCTGAAACTATATATTATTGTTACCTATAGTCATCCTACAGTGGTATAGAACATAGGACTTATTCCACCTATTTCACTGTAATTTTGTGTCTATTAACAAATCTACCCCTATTCCTTCCTTTCCTCATCCTTTCCCCTAACCTTCCCAGCCTCTTGTATCCGCTGTTCTACTTTTAGCTTCCACATGAGTGAGAACAGTTTTTGGCTTACACAAATGAGTGAGAACATGTGGTGTTTAACTTTCTGTACCTGGCTTATTTCAATGAACGTAATATCCTCCAGTTCCTTTCACGATGCCACGAATTACAGGATTTTGTTCTTTTTTGTGGCTGAATAGTATTCCATTATGTATATGATATGTATGTGTATGTGTGTGTGTGTGTGTAACTCTCATTTTCTTTTATGTGTTTATCTGTTGTTGGACACCTAGGTTGATTTCATATCTTGCCTATTGTGAATAGCACTGCAGTAAATATGGGGGTGCAGATGTCTCTTCAGTATTCTGATTTTCTTTCCTTTGGATAAATTTCCAGTAGGGAGATTGCTGGATCATATGTTAGTTCTATTTGTAGTTTTCTGAGGAACTTCCATATCATTCTTCATAGTGACTTCTCTAGTTTACATTCTTACCAACAGTGTATATAAGAGCTCCTTTTCTCTGTATCTTTACCAGCATTTGTTATTTTTTAACTTTTTGGTAATAGCTATCATAGTTGGGGTGAGATGATACCTCATGTTTTTTTTTTAATTTCTATTTCCCTGATTTCCCTGATGATTAGTGATGTTGAACATTTCTTCATATACCTGTTGGCCATCTGTATGTCTTTTGAGAAATGTCTGTTCAGGTCATTTACCCATTTTTAAATCAGATTGTTGTTTTTGTAGTGTTTTTTGGTGTTAAGATATTTGAGTCCCTTATTTATTCTGGATATGAATCCCCTATTGGATGATTAGTGTGCAACTATTTTCTCTGATTCTGTAGGGTGTCTTCACTCTGTTGTTTCCTTTGCTGTGCAGAAGGTTAAAGTTTGATGTAATCTCATTTGTTTATTTTTGCTTTTGTTGCCTGTGTTTTGAGGTCTTATTCATAAAATATTTTCCCAGGCCAATGTCCTGAAGCATTTCTCCTATTCTTTCTTCCAGTAGTTTTATGGTTTTGGGTCCTATATTTAGGTCTTTGATAATTTTGAGTTGATTTTTAAATAGGGTCAGAGGTAGGGGACTAGTTTCATTCTTCTGTATAAGGACCTCCAGTTTCCCCAGTACCATTTATTGTAGAGACTGTCCTTTTCCCAATGAGTATTCTTGGCACCTTTGTCAAAAATCAGTTGTCTATAGATATGTGGATGAATTTCTTGATTCTCTATTTTGTTCCATTGGTCTATGTATCTGTTTTTATCCCAGTGTCATGCTGTTTTGGTTACTAGAGCTTTGTAGTATATTTGAAATGTGGTAGTGTGATACCTCCAGCTTTGTTCATTTTGTTCAGGATTGCTTTGGCGATTTGGGGTCTTTTGTGGTTATATACAAATTTTAGGATTGTTTTTCTTATTTCTCTGAAGAATGCCATTAGTTTTTTGATAGTGACTGCAATCTATCTGTTGATTGCTTTGGGTAGTATTGTTGTTTTGTTTTATTTTATTTTATTTATTTTGGGAGACAGAGTCTCTATCACCCAGGCTGGAGTGCAGTGACATGATCTTGGCTCACTACAGCCTCCACCTCCAGGGCTCAAGTGATCCTCCCACCTCAGCCTCCTGAGTAGCTGGGACTACAGGTGCACACCACCACACCCAGCTAATACTTTTATTTGTTGTAGAGATGGAGTCTCACTATATGACCTAGGCTGCTTTCAAACTCCTGGCCTCACGCAATCCTCCTGCCTCAGCCTCCAAAACGTGCTAGGATTATAAGTATGAGCCACCACACCAAGCCAGAATGGCTATTATTAAAAAGTCACACACACAAAAAAGATGTTGGTAAGGTTGCAGGAAAAAGGGAATGCTTAACACTGCTGGTGGGAATGTCAAATTAGTTCAGCCACTTCGGAAAGAACTAAAAACAGAACTACCATTTAACCCAGCAATCCCATTACTGGGTATATACCCAAGGAAAATAAATTGTTCTACTAAAAGCACATGTGCACTTGTACATTCATCAAAGCACTATTCACAATAGCAAAGACATGGAATCAACCTAGATGCCCATTAACACTGGACTGGATAAAGAAAATGTGATACATATACACCATAGAATACAGCCATAAAAAAGGAATAAAATCACATTCTTTGCAGCAACATGGATACAATTGGAGGCCACTGACCTAAGCAAATTGACACAGGAGCAGAAAACCAAATACTACATGTTCTCACTTAAAAGTGGCAGCTAAACAATGAGTATACATGGATATAAAGGTGGAAGCAACAGACTATTAGGGAGAAGAGGGAGGGAGGTGGGGAGAGTTGAAAAACTACCTGTTGCGTACTATGCCCACTACCTGGATGACAGGATCATTTGTACCTCAAACTTCAGCATTACATGATTTACCCATGTAAGAAAAAAATCTTCTTTAAAGGTTCAGTAGAATTCAGCAATGATACCATCTGGATTTTTCTTTGTTGGAAGACTACTTTATTTTATTTTACATTTTATTTTATATATTTTATTTTATTTTATCGTTTTGAGACAGAGTCTTGCTCTGTCACCTAGACTGTAGTGCAGTGGCCATATCTTGGCTCACTGTAACCTCTGCCTCCCAGGTTCAAGTGATTCTCCTGCCTCAGCCTCCCAAGTAGCTGGGATTATAAGCATGCACTACCATGCCTGGCTAATTTTTGGAATTTTTAGTAGAGACGGGGTTTTGCCAGGCTGTTCTCAAACTCCTGGCCCTGAATGATCCACCTGCCTTGGCCTCCCAAGGTGCTGGGATTACAGATGTGGAAGACGTTTTATTACTGATTTAATCTAATTGCTTTGTATTGATCTGTTCAGGTTTTCTAGTTCTTGCCTATTCAACCTTGGCAGATTGTATATGTCAAGGAGTTTATTCACTTCCTCTAGGTTTTCTAACTTGACATATAGTAATTCAAAGTACCCTGGAATTATTTTTTGTATCTGTTGGGACATCCCCTTTTTTGCTCTTGATTTCATTTATTTGGGTCTTCTCTCTTTTTTCCTTAGTCTAGTTAATGGTTTGTTGAATGTGTTTATTTTTTTTCAGAAAACCCACTTTTTGTCTTGTTGATCTTTTGTATTTTTTTTACTCTCAATTTCATTTATTTCTGCTGTAATCTTTATTATTTGTGTCTCCTACAATTTTGACTTTGATTTGTTCTTGATTTTCTAATTGCTTGAGGTATATCATTAGGTTATCTGAAATCTAGTTTTTTCATGTAAGCATTTGTTGCTATAAACTTGCCTCTCACTACTGCTTTTGCTGTGTCCCATATGTTTTGGCATGTTGTGTTTCCATTTTCATTTGTTCCAAGGAATTTTTAAATTTCTTCCTTAATTTCTTATTCATTTTGGTCATTCAGGAGCATGTTGTTTAATTTCCATGTATTTGTATAGTTTCAAATGTTCTCATTATTTATTTCTAATTTTATTCCATTATGGTCAGATATTTGATAGATTTTGATTTAAAAAATAAATTTGGAGGCCGAGCGCAGTGACTCATGCCTGTAATCCCAGCACTTTGGGAGGCCGAGGCGGGCGGATCACTTGAGGTCAAGAGTTTGAGACCAGCCTGGCCAACATGGTGAAACCCTGTCTCTACTAAAAATATAAAAATTTGCTGGCCATGGTGGCACATGCCTGTAGTTTCAGCTACTTGGGAGGCTGAGGCAGGAGAATGGCTTGAACCCAGGTGGCAGAGGTTGCAGTGAGCCAAGATTGCACCATTGCACTCCAGCCTGGGCAACAGAGTGAGACTCCATCTGAAAAAAAAAAAATTTTTTTTTGAGACTTGTTTTATTTCTAACCTATGGTCAGTCCTGAAGAATGTTTCATGTGCTGATGAAAAGAACATGTATCCTGCATTTCACCTGTTGGGTGAAATGTTCTGTAAATGTCTGTTAGGTCCATTTGGTGCATGGTATGGTTTAAATCCAATTTTTCTTTGTTGATTTTCTATATAGATTATTTGTTTAGTGCTGAGAATGAGGTGTTGCAATCTGCAACTATTTTTGCACTGGGGTCTATCACTCCCTTTAGCTCTAATATTTGCTTTATATATCTGAGTGCTCTGGTGTTGGGTGCATATATATTTATAATTGTTTTATTGCTGAGTTGATCCCTTTATTAGTATATAATGGTCTTCTCTGTCTCTTTTTAGAGCTTTTGACTTGAAGTTTGTCTTGTCTCATATAAATATAGCTACTCCTGCTCACTTTTGGTTTTCATGTGCTTGAAATATCTTTTTCTATCCCTTCACTTTCAGTCTATGTGTGACTTTACAAGTGAGGTGAGTTTCTTGTAGGCAGCATACAGTTAGGTCTTAGTTTTCTTTAATCCAATCAGCCACTTGATATAATTTATTTTGTAAGTATAATTTTATTTAATTTTTCCATAAGTTATTGGGTTACAAATGGTATTTGGTTATAGGAATAAGTTCTTTAGTGGTGATTTGT